GTGTGTGTGTGTGTGTGTGTGTATGTTTACTTACGTTTACGTGAATATCAAAGTTATATCTCTACCAACATCCAGCCAATTTCCCCACAGTCGTTTGCCAGTATATTGCCGCCTTTTGATTTGCTTATTTAAAAATATATTTTATTATTGTTTATATGATATAACAATTGATGTTTTTTGCGTCTAAAAATAAATTTTGGAATCAAGGAAGTTACGTCTTATGTGTGTACACTGTCCCAACGTTTCAGAATATAGACTGCAACGATTTTGTCGAAGTTCATATTTTGCTTTAATTTCAGGTATCACTCGTGCCTTATCAGGATGATTTAGCCAATGACATCGGTGTTAAGCCCACTATTGATCTGTTTCTGACTGATCCTAAGCTTGCTTTTAAAGTATTTTTCGGACCAGCCTATCCGCCATCTTACAGACTGAAAGGACAGCATTCGTGGGTAGGAGCAAGGGCTGCTATTATGAACGGCTGGGAGAACACGACTAGACCAACAAAAACTAGGGACGTTATTAAGCAGAATCGTGGATTCAAATGTACGACTAGTGTTTGCGCAGATTTTCTAATTGTTGTATTTTTAGCAATTATTACTAAAGCATTTAGTCAGAACTGTTAATTGAACTAATACCGTACCATACTGTATTGTTATAAAGCTGTGTATAATTCTCGTTCTGCTTATCATCATACGCCCGGTTCATCTCACTGTTCGGAAAAAGTATCTTCAAATTTGTTTTAAATTCTTCTTCATACTGTTTCTTTTCGTCAAATTCTCTCATAGATTGAAAAAATAAATACTTGGAATGTTCGATTTCCTAGTGAATTTGTATTGTTTCCACAGAGTCAATTTAATCCTATAAAGTAAAGCTTAAGGGCAGATATTTTTCCATAGATTTGTTTTCACTTACAATACTCCGACCTGATCCGCTTGCTTGCTTGTATTTTTAACGTAATTTGTAGTCTCTAAAATCGAATAAATAAGCCTCTGAATCCCTTACATTATCATAGTTTCCGGGGTATACTCCACCTGGATCACTTCCGAGAGATTTTGATTGATGCCCAACCACGACCAAGTACGTCCTCGTCGGGGAGTCGAGCCCCACATCGGAGACATCGGACACCTCCCCGTCAGGCGAATCCTGGCGCCACGCCTGTGAGTGAACTGTGATTGTTCAAGACCCTCGCGCATGAGATGATTTTTGTTAAATGTTTGCATTGTCTATAGGCCTATATGTTTTTTACATCTAGTTGTTAAAACTAGTCATAAAGATACACGATTATGGCAAACGCCTAAAATAATAAGATTATAAAAAGGCAGCTTCTACCGTTCCTATTTCTGAATGGTAGTTATTGTATGTATTTTACGAAAATAACATTCTGTCAGAATTAGTTACCGTAGAACTTCTAATAATAACCCTGGGTTACTATTCTTTGATTGTTTTTAGGGTGTGTTACTATTAGAGTATGGATTAGGGCTACTATTAGAGTAGTGGGTTACTATCACTAAGCTTAATGTAGGCACTTTGAAATAGTAAACCACCACCCACCTCAGCTTTTCGCGTCATAAATTCTTAGAAATAAATAACTACAGTTCGAGTGTAAAAAGAAATTGTTGATTTAACTTAAATCAAATACACACGTCCACCCCTAATCGTTTTTTAACCCCCACCAACCCAGGAGTAAATTCAAGAAAGGATCACCAACGGTGAAATCACACTTTGAACAATAGATATTTTAAGGATTTTTTTTATGTAATTTTGTCTATAGTTTTGGTGCCTAATAATAACCCTATTAGTTATTGCTTAGTAGTGGGTTACTATATATTGATTAACTTCTATTGTGGGTTACTATTAGAGGGGGTAGTAATTAGAGTAATTGGGTTATTATTAAAGGTGTTACTGTATTTTTGTTTACGACTGTGTAACAATAGCAACTGCCTACAAAGTACTGTTCGCAATCAAGCAAAAAAAACCAAAAAAAAAACCAAAAAAAAAAAAAAAAAAAAAAAAAAAAAAAAAAAAAAAAAAAAAAAAAAAAAAAAAAACCAGAAAAGATCACTTAAAGGAAAGCAAAGCGCTTCATTCAAACTGTATTTAACACAATCGTATATGAAAAGTATTAATTATAATGGCATCTTTCATATATATATATATACAAAGGCGCTGGTATCAGTATAATTCCCCTGGTCACTGGATACTTAGTTGGCAAACCAGCACTTTTGTGTGCAATTTTCTCTGCTCCATTGGAGCATCCCTAGTCATGCTGCTTTACACGCACAACCACGTACGTTCAATGTCACACCATCCTACCAGGTACCCATTTATACTCCTGGGTGGAGAGAGGCAAACGTAAGTAAAGTGCCTTGCTCAAGGACTCAAGCAATGGGACAAGCGTCGGTCTCGAACTCCCGATGTCACTATCAGAAGTCCAACACTTTACACGCTGCGCTGGCCACACCCTCCTACGCTTGGCTAGCGCGGCTCCGACCTGTAACATCTGAAGACAAAATGATTTTAGTAATTTAATAAAAATAGCAAAATTATAATTTCTTGGATTTTTTTTTGTCGATTCCTAATATATATATATCTATGTCATGTGAATTTCCTCCACGAAACTTTCGTATTTTTGGCTCAACAAACCAGTTTCCTGATTTCCCGTGCATTTGGCATATACTCGCCGAATCTATATTGCCTACCATTGGAGTTCGCCCGTCAGCGTTTCCGCCGGGCCAATGTAAACACCGAAAGAGGTCTGATATTTCATAAATTGTTTTAATTGTAGTAATTATTATTAAAGCATGTTAGACTAAATTGCTGATGAAATTCATTAATAGCCCATGTCGTCCATTTGGCGAGAGCTTTCTCTTTTTCGCCATTTTTTTTAATGTCACATGACGGAGGAATAGTTGCTTCCACCATTTATCCGATGTCCTGTCCAGGTTCCTGAGACCATTTAAGAGTAAAAAAAAGAAGAAATAAATAAAATAATGAGAGTAGTCGCGACAATTTAAGGGATTGAGTTTTCGTTGCAATAGAGGGATTCGGCGATGATTGTTTACAGGCGGTCACGTGATCTAATTGGGTATTAGGCCTACATAAAACACATTACAGTGCGATAGCATAGGAAAAGGTAATGTTATTGTTGCGAAAAACTTGAGAAGTAACTGTCACGCACAATTTAAATAGAATCACAACAAATTCAAAAGTAGGCTCGCACAATAAAGAAGTCCCCAACAAATTCAAAAGTAGGCTCCCACAATTAAAGAAGTGCGTAACAAATACAAAAGTTTCCCGCGCACAATTAAAGAACTTCGCAACAATTTCAAAAGTAGGCCTACCTCGCACAAGTAAAGAAGTTCGCAACATATTAAAATGTTCTCTGCGCACAATTAAAGAACTCCGCAACAAATTCCAAAGTACATCGCAAAATATTTAAAAAGTCCGCAACAAATTCAGAAGTTCTTCGCCCAACAAAATCGTTACCTAACCATGTCGTAGATGTGCAAGGGGCTAGCTAACCATGCCGTAGATGTGCAGGTGCCTAGGCCTAACATTTGTCGAAAAAATTTTACGGCCAGTATCATTTTTAGCATTAGCAAACCATTAAGGCAGAATTCTTAAGTTTAATTTCCAATTATGAATTATGATGATCTTTACAGCAATAACAAGGGACGACAGATATAGCAATCTCCATGTAAAACACCGCTGTGCCAGTCGACTGTTTATATCAAATATACTAGACACAAAAGATAGAAGTTCTCCACAGAAAAAAAAAGTGTTCCACCAAAATTCATGGGGGGAGGGGAATACAAACAATGGGGGCGCCGCATACGGCTGGATCTAAAAATATTATTATAAATGATTCGACAAGGAACCTAATATTTCGACAAAAACACAAAAGTTTCTGATTTCAAAATATTTATTTTCATATTTATACACCATATAATATAATATTCAAAAACACATTATAATATCAAAATTAGGTTATTAAAAGCATAATAAAATGTTGGTTTACAATCAAAACTCTTTCACATAAAGGTGTTTACCATGAGGTATATTATTAATATAAAAATTAACAATTAAATAAATATGTTATGAAAAGTAATAAATGATACCAGCCTGGTGTTGATGTTTTCTTTTAACCGATTATAAACATTGGCTGGATCATTACCAGAACATTCAGATAATAGAACATATTGTCAAACTTATACATACGTACATATTGATTAAATACTTAAATGTTAATCAGGATCATGATTCTTTTTGCCCTTTCAAAGAGTATACAGTATAATATCGTATGTGATCGTATTGCATATACATATCATGCATTATTGGCCTTACATAAGTACTTTTATACTAGTCTTGTAAAAATCTGAGGTTTTTTTTTACAAATACAAATATATATTAAAACTTAATTATTGGAAATGCAATACGTTTATACTAAATATTAATCTTCCTGTCCAACTAGATACATAAAGTACAAAAATAAAATATTTAAAAATTACACAAACTCAAATCTTAATTATTGTTGAAAAACACATCATAACATGTAGGTCTGATTTTACATTGCAATCTGTAAAATGGAATTTCGAAGCTATATCTTAAAAAATGATTGTAAAAACAAGTAGATAACTTTTGGACTTCAGTAATTATAATTTAATGACGATCCGTTCAGACTGCCACTGACAATCAGCAGACGGCGTCGCGTCGTCTAGCGCTTACAGGGAACGGTTTGAATTCGTCGACCGACGGTCGTGCGACTGTCGTACGACGCAGTGAATGCCCGGCTTTAAGGCGTGGCGTTGACTTTGGTCGTAAGAAGAAATCCTGCAACATTGAAAGGAATTGAACCCAGGAACCCTGGAATTGGAATATCTAATCATCACGCCACACAAAATTGCAGCTGCTTAAATTACAATGTTATGCTTATCTTGGATAAATTTATTACAGGCGCAAGAATGCAAATGGGCCTACATGAATACATTTATATAAGAGAAGCTTCTCTCACGTCCGTAACAAACTTTAAAAGCTAAAATATATTTCTTGTTTTTCATTGAGGAAATCATTTCTTAATAAAATTATAAAATATTATATAAAAATAGGGTACAACATAAGCTATAATTACATTTATTGCATCTGTATTAGACATAAGCAAAACAAGTCTCTGACTAAGTAAAATTAATTATATCGTACATGTAGTACATTGTACAATTTGTCCATGGACTCTGGCCGCTAATGAAAAAGCTTTCTCTCACGTCCGTAACAAACTTTAAAAGCTAAAATATATTTCTTGTTTTTCATTGAGGAAATCATTTCTTAATAAAATTATAAAATATTATATAAAAATAGGGTACAACATAAGCTATAATTACATTTATTGCATCTGTATTAGACATAAGCAAAACAAGTCTCTGACTAAGTAAAATTAATTATATCGTACATGTAGTACATTGTACAATTTGACCATGGACTCTGGCCGCTAATGAAAAAGTATGAGTAATATTTAATGATAAATAATATTTACCTGTAAGGTTTTACTTTTGGTGTGTTCCACATATAACCCGTCTAGGGGTCAATGAAGAAGTGTCCTGGGTAAAGCCAATTCTATTACCACGCAGGAACACCGTAACACCAAACTATTGGCATGCCATAAACAAGACCTAGTGAGGTAAGAGTAGCCCGTTCTAGGGCCTACTCTTACAATACTAGATTATTATTATTATTTTTATTACTATTATTATTGATTAAATAACACTTAGAATAGTATGGACACGATCTGAGTTAAAATATTTAAATGTTGATATAGTTACCCAGTCAGCAGCATGCTGATTGGGTTCTGTTTCTTAGCAGTTTCTTTCTTTCTTTCTTTCTTTCTGGCAACATTTTAAAAGGCTACTAGTGGCAAACTACTGGACCGATTTAATTAAAACTTGGTCAGTAGGACCGGTGCCACCTCCCATTTACGTGTTATTCACAACTTGGGGTCAAAGGTCATATAAGGGGCATTAGGGTCAAAAAACCAAAAATCGTATAAAAGACTACTTGTCTCACAAATAACGTAGCAGTCTTGTCCTTTGCACATATACATTGGCATAAGGCAGGGTCTATAGGGTGTTCAGGGATAAGGGGTCAAAGGTCATTAAGGGGTAATTTTTATCTTTTTTTCTGGCAACATTTCAAAACGCTACTACCTGGTCAGTATAATCGGTGACACCTTTCGTACATGGGGTGTTCACTGCTTGGGGTCAAAGGTCACATAGGGGTCATTGAGGTAAAAACTTTCAAAAAATGAATAAAAGACTTCTTCTGTCACAAATAACATAGCAGAGTCTTGTCCTGGGCACATATGTATTGTTGGCATAAGGTAGGGTCTCTATGGTGTTCAGCGATTTACGGTCAAAGGTTATTAAAGGGTTATTCTTTTGTTTTCTCTAGTAACATTTCAAAATGCTACTAATGGCAAACCATTGGACCAAATTCAATCAAACTTTGTTATTAAGAACCGGCGACACCTCCTACACCCCAGTCTGGGATCAGGCGTCACATAGGGGTCATCGGTGTTAAATTTTCGAAATAGCCCAATTGAGCTCAAATTTACTAAACACGAAAAAAATACTCTTCACCCCATATGTCAAAGTTCATAGGTCAAAGATTCAAAATGTTACTAATTGCAAACGATTGAACCGAATTCAATCAAATTTGATCATTAGGAACCAGTGACACCTCCTTAACCCCTGTCTGGCATCAGTGGTTACATAGGGGTCATCTGGGTCAAATTTTCAAAATATAGCAATTAAGCTCGAATTTACCAGGAATGATCATTAGGAACTTCTAAACATGAGAAACTACTCTACATCTATAGGTAAAAATTCACGGGGTCACTTTATTGAAAATTATCAAATATTGGACCAGTTGCATGTTGGACTCCTACCACAGGTTGAAGTTAAAGGTGGTTATCTCTTAAAAAATGACTGGGTTCATGTTCTATTGAACATAGTATCTCTAGTTAGTTATTGTGAGTGCATCAATTTTAAATCGATTACGAATATTGCTTCAGAGGCAATACGACATCATTGTTTATTGCCTTTTCCAGTAGTAATTTAGTGGTTATACCTCCCAATATGTCGAGTTGTGAAACAACAACATTTAGCTCTTTGCTAGCCCAAGTCACCATTTCGACGGCCATCAATGAGTCGACTCCGTAGTTCACCATTGGCTGATTAATATCAATATTTTTTGCGTCCAGGCACAGCAACATACCTAACTTCTGTAAGACACGTTGCTCTACGTCTTGAAGACTTAGCGCGCATTCGGTCTTAGACAAGTTGTCACTGACTGCCAAATGGTTATATTTCAGGCTTTCCTTGTAACTAAACATTTGTGTTGCACTCCAATCCTACAATACAAACAAAATTAAAATTAATATATTTCTTCCAAATTCTAATACTATAATATATCAAATTAAGAATAATAACGAAGTAATATGAATCGCTCTTGAAAACCATTTATATAACAAACATAATGATCTTACTAAAATGTTTGCAGTAAATTGTTGACATAGAAGTTGGCAAAAAAAACTAACCTGGTTTGCAAGACAAACAACAGCAGGAATATTTGATGATTGCAAAAGCGTTGATAAAACTTCTAAGAATTCGTCAACGTGCAGAGAGTGATGCCCCTTCAAAGCCAGAGTGTTGGTAACGTCCGATCTGCTTTCTAGGTATCCGGCGCCTCTAACTGGTCCCAGCTGAACACTAAGAGATGGCAATCCATTACTTCTCCGTTTCTCCGCTAGCGAATCAAGGAAGTTATTAGCGGCGATGTACATAGGCTGTGATGAATGACCCCATGTTGCTGTCACAGAAGATAGCATGAAGAAAATGTCGAGATCGAAGTCTTGAGTGTAAGCATCTAGCAGTTGAGCACTAGTTGCTTTTGAAGAAATAATTGCGTCTGCTTCATCATATGTAAGACTTTGAAGAGATTCCTCAGCGATGTAGCCAGCCAGATGAAATATACCTTTAACAGGTGGGGCCCCTTTCATTCTCAGTTCATCTCTAAGTTTTTCAACTCCGTATGACTTACTGATGTCAATGGCAAATTCATATACAGTGACTCCTTTCCTACGCAAGAATTCTGTCGTTCGTCGACCAGCTGAATTTCTACATCCTCTCCGGGAAACAAGTGCAATGTACTGTGCGCCTTTCAGTGCGAGCCAGCGAGACATAGCGAGACCAATCCCACCAAATCCCCCAGTGATGATGTAAGTTGCTTTATTCTTGAAAATCTTAGATGTTTTATTTATTTTAGGAGGCTGCACTTCGTCTGGGATGCTGAATATCATTTTACCTATATGGGAGCCTTTAGCCGTTCTGGCTAATACTTCTTGGTAGTTTTCAATTGATGACACTTCAAAATTGACTGGTTTCAAAGAGCCTGCCTCAAGTAGCTTTCCCACTGTCTGCAACAGACTCTGGATTTTTGGTTTCTGTAGCTTAATCATAAAGTCTATTTGGCATGAGAGAAATGATTTGTTCTCAAGAAGTAAATGCATCTGTAAGGCCGAATTCTTTAGTATGTCACGCTTACCGATCTCACAAAAACGACCACCAGGAGCGAGACATTGAATTCCTTTTGTCAGTAGATCACCTCCCAGGGAGTTCAGTACCACATCAACACCTTTTCCATCTGTCCACTTCATGATATCATCATAGAACGAATCTGATCGCGAGTTCGTGACATGTTGGATGCCAAGTGCGTCCTTCAAATAATGACGTTTTCTCTGAGTCCCGGCTGAACAGATGATATTTGCACCGATCATTTTAGCCACTTGTATGGCACTCAGTCCCACACCTCCACATGCAGAATGTATAAGAACTGTTTCTCCTTCTTGTAGGTTAGCGCGCTCTACTAGACTATGGTATGAGGTTGCAAAAACGATAGAAACACCGGCGCTTTCTTCCCATGACAAATTTATAGGTTTTTCGATGACAAAATTAGCGTCACAAATAGCATGGGAAGCAAAGCAATGTTCACCAAATCCGATTACCTTGTCACCTTCCTGGATGTGTGTTACACCTTCTCCAACTTTCACAACAATGCCACTCATCTCTAGACCAAATTGCCTGCCTTCTAGCGTCACCAGTTCCTCAAGCATTCCTAAGGCCATCATCACGTCTTTAAAGTTCAACGCCGTACATTTTACTCTAACCAATATCTTGCCAGGGGGAGGAAGAGTAATTTCATTCGTATAGGAAACACCCAAATCATCTAAAGATGCGACTGGCGATGAATCATTTTGTGTCAACTGCCAAAACGGTGTTTTCACATCTACATTCTCATTGTGCACGTGTAAATGTGTAAGTCGTGGATAAAGGTATGTGTTGTTACGAATGACTATTTCCCTTTCTCCATGTTGTTTAAATGATATATATTTCACCAAGAGTTCAGCCTGTTTTGATGGTGAGCTGTTAGGATCAGTATCAATCGTGAAAATGGGTGTTTGACATTGATTCGATACAGCCCGCAACATCCCAATGGCTTTGCTTCCATCGATATTTGTAGAATCCATGTTTGATCCAGATGTTACGAACCAAACTCTAGCAAACACATCTGGATTTGCATCCACATGTTGTATTAATTTGAGCAAGAAATGACAGTCATTATCAGAATCACTCCAAAGATATATTAATTCTTGGGCACTTTCATTCGAGATTTCTGAAAGCCCACATTTGTCCAGAGTTTGTAATGTTTCGCATTTCACATTCCCGTTCAGGTTTTGTTCAATACCTCCTGACATTTCACTCTTCTGGTCACAAATGATCATGTAGTTAGATTGGCTAGTCGTTCTTTTGTCTTGTTGCTGGCACATTGGTGATGGTTTCTTGCCGAGTAATACACTATGGAAAAATTCTTCAGGTGTTGAGGCAGATTCCACCTGGACAAATCCGTTCTTTGACATAGATTCTGCCCATTCCTCCTTAGATAACCAACACGTATCTTTTCTGGAATCTTGAAACACCCAGCAGAGATCGAGAGATCCGAACACGAGTTCTGAAATAAAGTGTGTGTTTGTAGCTTCATACATCAGAAACAGACCATCATCCACTAGAAGTTGGTTGACTCGCGATAGCGTATCGTCAACATCCACTACAGAATGTATGGTATCCAAACAAACAATTAAATCAATAGACCCTGGAACAAATCCTTGACCAGCAAGGTCTTTCTCGATATCTAGCTGTTGATATTTGACAAATGGATATTTATCGAGGGTACCTTTTGCATGCATGAAGAATGTAACGCTGAGATCGGTGAATATATACTCAAGACGGTGTTGTTCTCCAAGATGTTTAAGAGGTTCCAAGACATATTTAGCAAGACCACCCATTCTTCCACCTACCTCCAACACTCGAACAACTTGTTTCTTTTCAGCTGCACATTGAACGGCTTTGTGTATAACTTCTGTTCCAGCTTTATAGAAAAGCCTTGTTGTTAATGAATCCATGAAGTAGCTGGGAAGACATTCTGGGCGAAAGAGAAGTTTGACAGCACTTCCAGGATCCACCAACGTCTTTGTAAAATTCTCTCCAAGGCACCTTATCATTTCTAATTCGTGTTTAAGTTCGGGAATATTTTCGTCGAGATTCTTCAGCTTCTGATGAATTGTCTCATAAGACAACTTCTTTATAGATGTGTCAGCAACAATGTGTCTCAGCCGTTCAAGATAACGAGGATGAACAGCAATATCTTTAGTACTGACACTTTCTAAACCATGAGAGATGAATGAAACACATATTTCCTTAATTTCTTCTGTGTGTTCTTGGACTCTATTGATTTTCTCCATTTCGTCAGAATAGACTGCATTTAGATGGTTTTCATTGAATACTTGTTTCAGTGTTGATGTGCCGGTCATACATGAATTAGAAGGTTGCCAAACTGTTTGATAGAGGCAATCATCTATATTTGTGTCAGATTTTACACCATCAATATTTTTGAAATGCACCCCAATAAGTTTTGCCAATATTTGACCACATTTTGATATCATGAAAACGTCACCAGACATCATTATACTGTCACATTCATTAATTCGAGCATACGCAAAGAACTCTTCGAAGGGTGGAAGTTTTGCTACATGCATCCTGATACTTTTAATACCAACAGGAAGGTAAAGTGTTGTTTTTTCGCCAACAGCTTGCAAAAGTAGCTGGAAACATCCATCCAATTGAGTCGTTTGAATTCGCTGTTTGTTGTCTTCCGGGGGGCTCAAAGTACCTAAAATCTCTCCGTCTCCCACTTGAACATCAGAAACAACTTGAAATGCTGGGCCATAGTTAAGACCTAGCGATCCCAACCTATCGTAAAATTCCTCCTTTTCTTGATGCTCAGAACACCTTGCGTAAATAGCATCAATATCAAATGGTTCATTTTCTATTGCATTACTGGAACTTGAAATGATGCTGTCACTGAAGACACTGTTATCGGAAGTAATTTCTATGAGATTACCATTCTTGGCACACTGAAGTTTTAGATATTGGGATTCATTGTTGCCTGCATCATTACCTTTCCAAGTGCAAACGCGTTTGAAGGTAACATTATAAAGACTTGGGCACTCGTCTTCTTGAAAGAATGACTGCAATGCATATTCCACATAGCCAGCTGCCGGAAATACAACTTTGTCACGGACCACGTGGTCAGCAAGAAATGAAAAAGTGTTAAGAGATAGATTGCCGTGTTGACCTTTGAAAGTAAGATCCTCTTTTCCAAGACGCTTTTTGTATCTTTCCTCAGGTTCTTTCCAAAACGATTCGTGCTGCCATGGGTATTTTGGAATGTCTACCCACTTATTCACACCGCTAGTGATATTCTTCCATTCTAAAGGTACTCCCTGTATATAGAGTTGACCTACAGCATTTAGAACCGATATTCTGTCATCTTGTTGACGGTGTCCTGATGCCAATGTGACAATGTCACTTTGACCATGTTCCTTTGCGATTTGTTTTACAGAAGACACCAGCGTAGCAGAAGCGGCACATTCTATGAAAATGTTTGCACCAATATCTTGAAGTATATTTGTAATTGCAGTTTCAAACTTGACAGTACTTCTAATGTTTCCCCACCAATACTCAGTTTCAAAATCACCTTTATAATGCTCGCCAGTTAATGTCGAATAAAATGGAACTTTACGAATACCTGGTGGGGTAGTAACAGCTCCTTCCATTGAAGCTCGGAATGGTTTTTCCATAGGATCCATGTAAGGTGTATGAAAAGCACACTGAACTCGAAGTTGTTTAGCTTTTATGTGATTGTCATTTACCACCGACAGAACGCTATCTTCAGAACCTGCCAATGTCACAGAACCAGAGGCATTTTCAGCTGCTATGAATAGATCGTCATGTTTTGCGCACAATTCTAATGCTTCGGTATGTGTAAGTCTAGCAGCGACCATGCTACCAGCCCCTTTTAGGAGTGCTTGGTTCTTGCTTCTATGGTAAATAACTGTAATGGCTTCGGTTAAGGTGAGACCTCCGCATGCATATGCAGCCGCAACTTCTCCAAGGCTATGCCCAACCACGACGTCAGGTTGCAAACCCCAGTGCCGCCATAACTCATACAGACCTATCTGTAAAAACACAATAGATGGTTGACTTATTTCCATATCATTGATATTTTCATCATTTACCATGTTTTCATCTTCAAGATGACCATTGAACAATCCTCTAGATTGTATTAGTGACCAACCACTAATTTTACTGAAAATAGCATCGCATTTGTTTACAGCATTCCGAAATACTGGTTCTGTTCTGTAGAGCTGCCTTCCCATGTTCACCCATTGCTGTCCTTGTCCAGGAAAAATGAAGCAAATTTTATGTGTGGAGTAGTTTGCTGTTCCAGTGCATATACCCTGCCCACTTTCACTTATGTTGAAATTTCTTAATCTTTCTCGAAATTCTTGTCCCGATGAAGCAATGACAGCAAGACGATTTTCATGATGTTTTCTGTGAGTCGCCTGCCAGCTAATGGCGTGCATAGCATCATCTTCACATTCAAAGTCAATCCATTTAGAAGATAGATCGTGAAGTGCATTCAACGATTTTCCTGAGAGTGGCACTATCATCGGTTTACCTTTATTCTCTCCTTCACCAAATGACCATCTCATTGGGTCGGGTAGATCATTGTGTTGTAATCTAGGTGATTCCTGTAAAATAGCATGGGCAAGGGCCCCAGCAAATCCAAAACTATTTATACCGACGATTGCCTTTCCATTTGATCGGAGTGGCTCAACCGTGGTCTGTACTTGTAGTTTCCAGTCTTCGAGTTGTATCTTTGGATTTGGTTTTGTATAGTTGATTGTTGGTACTAAAATACCTTTGTTGAGCATCAGTACAGTTTTTATAGTGGCTACAACGCCTGCAGCACATTCACTATGACCAAAGTTGCTCTTTACAGATCCAACCTTAAGAGGTTCTGTACGAAGTGGACCAAAGGCTTTGCCTATGGCTTCTGCTTCTATTGGATCCCCGACTGGTGTACCTGTCCCATGTGCCTCTATATATTCGACATCCGCCATGTTCACGCCAAATCGCCTATACGTTTCTTCCATGATTTGCTGTTGTGCTGACACTGATGGCATCGTAAGGCTTTGGCTGTAGCCGTTGGCAGAAATCGACGTACCGATAATAGTGGCATAGACATGATCATTATCTAAGAGGGCTTGATCGAGAGGTTTAAGAATCATAGTTCCCCAACCCTCGCCCCTTACGTAACCATTGGCCGAGTCAGAAAATGGACAACATTTTCCATCTGGAGAAAGCACACCAAGAGAACTGAAGGCAGCTGAAGTTTCAGGGATGATAAGAGCATTAGCGCCCCCAAGAACAGCAATCTCACATTCTCTGTTTCGGAGAGCAGAGCAAGCTAGGTGCATAGCGGTCATGGATGATGCGCATGCCGTGTCTACGGCATAGCTTGGTCCTTTCAAATTAAATGCATAGGATAGTCTGTTTGCTGCGACACTGTGGGCTGATCCTGTAACCACATAAGGGTCGATGGTTGATGTGTTATTCGTTTGTATGGCATAGTCCATTAATCCAATACCTACAAATACGCCACAATTTGCTTGCAGTTCTTCTGGTATGATTCCAGCATCCTCGAATGCTTCATGCGTGACTTCTAATAAGATTCTTTGCTGTGGATCCATTGCCGCCGCCTCTTTTGGTGAGATCCTAAAATATATGCTGTCAAATTTATCGATACCGTCTATAAATCCGCTTCTCCTAGTGACAATCTTGCCTTGTTTACCTTGTTCCTTGTCGTAGAATGCATCCAGTGACCAACGATCAGCTGGTACCTCGGTAATGCATTCTTTACCGTCTTGAAGGACCTTCCAGAAGTCTTCGGTTGATGTCACACCACCTGGCATTCTGCACCCTACAATGTAAAAATGTTTATTTATGTATTATTATACGTCATTATTGTGGTATGTTTTTTTTTTTTGTTTCTTTTTTTTTATACAATTAGCTTTTGTACTTACCCATGCCTATAATTGCTACCGGAAAGGTGCCACTTTCACTGGCATTCTCCATATCTGTTTCTGCCTTCACGGTACCTTAATTTGAAAGAAAAATATTATAAATATTTTTTTAATGACCACAACATTAATTACTTGAATGTATAAGCACATAAACTGGATATGGAGTTATTAATATGAAATTACCTCGTTCCTCTCACAAGCCAGTAGAAATCATTGATAGGGGTTAATAGAATAATTACAACATAAAATTGAAAAAGTAAATTTAGCAAGCCTATTTTCGTCATGTAATTATACCCAATTAATAATGTATGACTTTATGTATATATTTCTGGAAAGATTCCGCAAAAATGTTTCTGTCGCAGTTAGTTATGGGTCAGTTCACAGATTTACTTGACCATATATACATATCCACCGATGCAGTTACTAAAGCGGCAGTACTGTTCTGACATAACATTGGACAGAGAATAATATTGGTAACATAGTAGCCTCAAAGAAATTTATCAACATAAAACTTTAGGCCGTTAAAAATAATTTCATGAAAAATGTTTAAATAAATAATGTTTCCATTGTAATATACAGTACATTAAAATATTCCTGTCATAGTGTTTTTCTAACGTAAATTTTGAAAGACTACCGGTAATAATTGATCGTAATTAACATGATGACCACACAGTAATGCTCTTAATTTAAGTTTATAAACGGTTCATGCTAGTAACCAACCTACTTTTATCCCGCCAGCTAGGGAGGATTGCCCCGTATACCTAAATTGAGCCTTTGAACCACAAAAACGTAGTTCTTAAGTTTCTACTACATAGTATAATTCAATTAAACACATAATAATAGGCCTGAAAATATAATAAGTACCGTAATGATAGAAAATGTAGCGCATAGATTAGGTTAGCCTAAATTACCATCTTCCTCTTTCGTTGATTGATTTTGTAAATTCGGATGAAATAAAGATGTTATAATTATTAATAATAATTATTATTAATAATAATAGTATTAATATGCCTTTATATCTAAAAATAGAAATATTGACACCTTTAATGTTATGTCGTTTTTATTCATTTTTTCGGCACATCCTATCTTTTATTTTAAATATATAAATGTGAGTCATAGTGTTTTTGTTTATTTGTTTGTTATAAATTGAAATACAGTTAGTTCTTAAGGAGCCAAAATATAGTTCAGCCAGCTGGGCTCATAGACACTAACTATTTGAGTCGCGAAGCAATTTATTATAGGACGACATATAAACTTGGGTAAAATGTTGGTGCGGTTTCCATGAGCCATTCCCAACACCACAATGATATAATATTTAAATGTGTTTTGGCAATTTCATATTATATTTTTTATTGTGCAACACATCGATATCAGGGTACTTCAATCATTAAAATTCTGTAACAATTAGATTAAGAATTCTGTTCACACCATAGTTGTCTTTGGCACTAGATAATAGAATAATTGTAGGTAGATTTCCTTCTATCTCTCATGCTAACCCGGATACAAATTCTTTAAATACAACGTTGATTGGATAACGCTTTCGTACCATCGACAAATATTGATGGTGTATCCTTACAGCGACAAGACAATCAGTAATTTCCACAGATAAAATAGTAATCCGCCCTCACCCCCACCCCCGAAAAATGAAATCAAAAACATTAAAAAAAAAAAAAAATACTTAAACAAAAACCAAAACAAAAACAAACATAAAAACTAATAATATTATGTTCTACATATAGGGCCTATAATGAACAACGACAAATGAAATAATCAAGGGGAAGGGATCCGGGAAGAAAAATACATTGAGTAAAACTATCAGAGGCCGAGGATAGCCAAGGGAAATTTGCCAGGTGAAATGAAGAAATCCATACTGTAATTTGCTGTAAAGTAAAGCATCGAGACGCCTCGATTTCGGGTCTTCTTCACTTAGACCTATAATGGGAAAATTTTTCTTCAAAATTATTATTACTTTTATTATTTCATTATTATTATTATTATTATTATTATTATTTTCATACGGGCCAGAATTTAATGGCTCCACGTGGTCACCTATTAAGAACCAGAGGTCTGCCTACAACTATTATGTATCTTACTTGCCGTCTTTTATTTGGCATGAAAAATGTGTTCTTTTTCTTCCTAACTATAGGCTGCTAATTAAATTAAAAAATACAGTATAGTATATTTTTGTCTGCTTAACACAATAATAGTTAGCTCACAGTACGCTAACTGACGTACCTTCACACATCAAGAAGAGCGTATCGTAGGCCTATATATTATAATGATTTCATTAATTTGTATCCCAGGTATACAGTACATATAAATTCCAGTTGGGACCAGTTGGAAATCCCAACTGGTCCTATTGGTTTCCAACTAGTCTAACTGGTTTTCAACTGGAAATTCAACTGGTACAACTGGAATTTCAACTGGTACTGTCAACTGGTCTCCCGAACTGGTTTAACTGGTCCAACTGGCCTATCCAACTGGTTGAACTGGTCCAATTGGTAGTACCAACTGGTTGAACTGGTCCAACTGGTTTATTCAATAGGTCCGGTCCAACTGGTCTACCCAATAGGTCCAGTTGGTCCAACTGGTCTACCCAATAGGTCCAGTTGGTCCAACTGGTCTACCCAATAGGTTCGGTTTGTCCAACTGGTCTACCCAATAGGTTCGGTTGGTCCAACTGGTCTACCCAATAGGTCCAGTTGGTCCAACTGGTCTACCCAATAGGTCCAGTTGGTCCAACTGGTCTACCCAAATAGGTTTGGTTGGTCCAACTGGTCTACCCAGTAGGTCCAGTTCAGGGGCGGATGTCCTAGGGGGTCCAGGGGCATGCCCCCGCGAAATTGTTGTGTTCTAGACGCCCGAAAATAACATTTGAGGCGTTCTGGGCTGTCATTTTTTTCTTTTTCTTTCTTTTTTTCTTTCTTTTTTCTTTTTTTACCTCCCAAAAGGGTGGGGGGCCGGGGCCGGGCCGCCCCCCCCCCTAAATCCGCCCCTGCAGTTGGTCCAAATTGGTCTACCCAAGGTCCAGTTGCTTTAACTGGTCTACCCAATAGGTCCAGTTGGTCCAACACCAAGGAGGAACACCTACCCAACTGGGCCAATTAGTACGTCTATCGAACTTATTTAATCGATTTTATATTTAGAATCTGCCTATGTAGAGAATACATATTTGTTTATCTTAAACAAATTTTCTGTTTTCTCCCTGACGAGGGGGGGGGGGAGGACCTACCTGTCCCAACTGGGCCAATTAGTCTATCTCAATTTAATCGATTTTATTTTTAGAATCTGTCTAATTTTGTAAAAAATACATATTTGTTTTATCTTAAACGAATCGTGGCTTTTCTCCTGGGGTGGGGGACACACCCAACTGGGCCAATTAGTCTACCTCAATGAACTTATTTAATCAATTTTATATTTAGAATCTGCCTATGTAGAAAATACATATTTGTTTATCTTAAACAAATTGCTGTTTTCTCCCCGACGAGGGGTGGGGGGCTGTCTCTTATACACATCTAGATGTGTATAAGAGACAGGTCGCATATTGTCTACAGCAACAAGCCTTTCAAAATGCAACCGGCGGTCAGCAGAGTGGCATTTCCATGGGCAAGTGCTTAGCAGTGGTCAAGATGAGAGAAATCCTGAGAGATCTGGTTTAATGGATTTTTAACACATCTACATTCATGGCCAACTGATTTCAGGGGAGATAATTAAATAGTATTAAAAACATGCAAACATGGAGATGGGGAAGTGTGGGAATCATGTCCTGGACGAATTTGTCAGCTGTTGATCGGCTGGCGCCCGCCGGCCCTGTGGAGTTGAGAGCAAAATAATGTTATCTATCAGGACAGTTAACCTGTTACTAGAGAACCAGGAAGTATCTCGAATTGCACTCAATTCTGATTGATCACTTCAGTTGAGTAGAGTACTGTGTTTTTGAATTCATGATGGTGGAGTTAATATAAGTCAGTTTATACATTCTTGGAAGGTAGTTTAGCAGCCGTATTATCCACTATGGAGGTAAGAGGTTTGTTTTATTATTCGTGGGTTACTACTAGGGTATGGCATTATAGGCATTATACAGTAGTGGGTAGTGGTAGTAAGAAAGACCTAGCCTAGGCCAGGCCTGGCATATTTGCATAATGCATAGACATAGTCATCATAGGCATAATAGACGACAGTTCACACTGTTCTGTCTCTATGCCAGCTATTTATCCTCAGTGAGGATATAGATTGGCTAGGCTAGGGCCTTTGTTGGCCTAGCTAAACTGCAGCCTTGCCTCATAGCTTGTTTAGTTATGGGAATGGTAATTAGGCCGTGTTCTCATAATTATTATAATATTATCAAGTGCATGCTTTATTGAAATAAAGTTGGTGTTCAGGGGTAGGGCTGGCCTAAACCGGGGTGGGGTTAAAGGCTGTCTACCAATTATTATTTGCTGAAAGTTGATGTATGTAATCACCAATTATTAATTAATATAAATGATGACTTTTATTTCAGAATGTCTCTACTAAAGTTAAAAACTCAACTTATTAAATCGCCGTGGCTAGAGATACGGTACCGTATTTCTACTTCAGTTTGTTAAAGGTACAGTAAATATCATTACGTCACCATCACCCAATGAAGTGCCAGAATGTCTGTGACGTCATTTTTCAAGACTGACATTGCATTGCAGATCACCCGCGATGAGCGGTGAAACGAGAACGATGTACTGTACTGGGAAATTAGAACATCAAAAGGTACAATATTGTTTGACTTAGTACTGTTATCGATAAATAGGCTTATGGTTCCACTTTGTAAAGAGTTTCATTTAACTAGGCCTATGTATAACCATTATCAAACAAGGACCGATTCCACCAAACTCTTGGCATGCCTCTAGGCCTTGCTTAAATTCTGCTTTTCGTGGCAGCTGCTGCTCTGGTGACATTGATCTGAGTGTATATCAGTTATAAACTTAGCCTAGTTCCTCCGTGATCATACCGTCTGAACTTCGTAATCCCTACATCCCAAGTTTTAGTCCAAGAACCTCTAAATAATACCACGCTTTACAATCCCACCAAAATATTCATACAATTTGGATGCACAAAAATGTTATGGTACAGAATCTAGGCCTAGATCGAGAGAATGAGTTTCATGAGCATACTAATGAACATTCTTTCGTTTTTGTCTGTGTCGGGACAATAACTGCCGCATTTTTTGAGCTCCCATATTTTACTAGCTCATTTACTCAATACTGGACTGTGCGACAACTTAACCATTTCGTCACAACATCGTCATAACCATAATAATAATGGGTAATTATAATGCGCCAGTAGCTGAGTCAAATTTTTCCAATAATTTCGATGCAGATCTTAAAACAGTACTACGGTATATAAAATGCTAGGAGGCCTTATGAATCTTCTTGTTTAGTATATTCAGTTTTTAGTGCTTGTCACTGTCACAGGTGAGCAGTGTGTGACTAGCGATAAAATGTACTTGATTAGCAGATGAGTAGCTAGGCAAAGATCGAGTACAGTATATTCTTATAATACTGTCATAGAAAAATAGGCGTACCACTCAATAATAAGAGTCATGTCATTTATAGCCTTATCAAGCAAGGCATCATCCTCAGGACTTAGGCCAAGGCACGTGTAATACACACACTACTGCTAGTCTTTGGTAATCTATTTATGACAACACTTGCAATAAAAAAATGAATATACTGTAAACAAGAGAATTCATACAGGCCTACTTTTACTATAAAGTGGAACCATACGGCTATTTAACGATGACAGTAAAGTCAAACAATATTGTACTTCTGATGTTCTAATTTCCCAGTACGTACATGATCGTTCTCCTTCCACCGCTCATTGCGGGTGATATGCAATGCCTGTCTTCAAAAAATGACGTCACGCACATTCTGGCATTTCATTGGGTGATGGTGACGTAATGCCATTTACCGTACCTTTAGCAAAACAAAGTAGAAATACAGTACCGTATCTCTAGCCACGGCTATTAAATAGGCCTACAGGTCTCCCTCAAATCAAAGACCACTTTTGGGACCGGGATTTTCATGGTCTTTAGCAGCTTCGGTCTCTAGTTAGAATAATAAAAATTAAGACATAGTCGATTTGCGACCACAGAAGAGTGGTCTTTATTTAGAGGTAGTCTTTAATTGAAGCGGTCTTTCATTAGAGGGAGATCAGTAATCAAATTTAATATGTACGTAATTAGGCCAAATGGAACAAAAGAGCCAACTGCACTCATTGAGAGAGTAAACAAACGATAGGCCCTAGTACGCAGCCAGTGTAAGATGCCCGCTGTCATTTGTATGTCCACCCACGTCCTGTACCATTGTCATGTCTGTTTTTCTACTTGCCAAGTAAATACGGGTATACGTCAGTACACAAATGAACGTGGGTATTCTACACAGCTATGACGTTTCTATAAACGGGAGTACACACTTTTGTTTTTTTTTTATACCTTTTGATTTGGCCTATAAGGGACATTGATTGTAACTGTTTTGGAAAAAAAAAAAAAAAGGAATGGAAACTGATAATTTTTTTTTTTTTTTTTTTTTAGCTACTGTACATATGCATATCTTACTTATACATTAACTTCGAAGGGATATAGCACATTTATAATTTAATTTATTAAGGTACATTTAATATAATTTAATTCGTTTTCCTAGACATATATCACCTTAATTAAGATTATTTTAAAAATAAAAAAATGAGCATAGGTATTTCAATTGACAAAAGGCCATTTTCCCCTGCCCCTTAATTTCTTATAATTGACCTGTATAGATTTTTCATTCATTTTTATTTTTTCAAAAAAGGGTTTTGAAATGCCCAGCACAATAAAATGCATATGCTCTGTTTTACATTCTTGGCATGTTTTTTTCATGTTTAAAAGCACATAGAGGTTTCCATAATATGTGCTCTATAAGTTAGCCATTATTATTCTTATTTCAGATTTTGTTATTGTTATATCTTTCAGCAAGTGTGAAACTCTGAAAAAAGTTAGTACAAGCCAACGTGATTCAATATTTCAAGCTTGATTTGTTCAACTGCAGAATTCCTACTATCTGATCTTTTAGCAAGAATTTTAATTTAGCTTGCTACCATCGGACATGAAAAGGCATCTTTGTGGACAGCTGCTTCAATATACAAAGAATACTGGTTAATGCATGCTAACACACAAGGTTCTTGTGATTATTGTTTTATATACAGTAATAAGCTCTAGTGGTGCTTTAATATAATAGGCCTACATTACGGACAAAAATGCTGATTTACACAGGACTGTAATGCGAAGGACTCTAGAATAAGCTTGAATTTGAGGTACAGTATGTGTAGCAGAAGACTTGTACCAGTTTTTAATTAAAGAAATTATGGTTTGTATATCTTAAACTCAGTGTTTTTTGTAAGTCTACAGGAGTTGATTAAAGCCATTGTTATTTTACAAAAAGGATCTGGGACCAATTGAAGACCAGTTGGAATTGGGACCAGTTGGAACTGACACCAGTTGAATTGTCCAAAAACACAACACTCAAATAAGAAAGTATAATACATACTCCAAGTATTGAAATACACGCCATCGTGTTGGGATTCAATATTTCGACATTAATTATGTCATCATCAGGAATCAACACAACACTCAACTGGTTCCAGTTCTAACTGGAATTTAAAAACAGTTGGAATTGGGACCAGTTGGAACTGGGACCAGTTGGATTGTCCAAAAACACAACACCCAACTGGTCCAACTGGAATTTGGGACCAGTTGGAAATGGGACCAGTTGAATTGTCCAAAAACACAACCCGCAACTGGCTCCAGTTCCAACTGGTCCAAATGGAATTTAAAACCAGTTGGAGTTGGGACCAGTTGGAACTGGGACCAGTTGAATTGTCCAAAAACACAACCCGTAACTGGTTCCAGTTCCAACTGGTCTAACTGGAATTTTTACCTGTCTTAGTGTTTTGTTTGTGGTTTCGTTTAGATGGATATTACATTGTTTTAATTTAAAAAAAAATTCTTAAAATTGTTATTTATTTCAGAAGACAAGCATACTAATGAACATTCTTTCGTTTTTGTCTGTGTCGGGACAATAACTGCCGCATTTTTTGAGCTCCCATATTTTACTAGCTCATTTACTCAATACTGGACTGTGCGACAACTTAACCATTTCGTCACAACATCGTCATAACCATAATAATAATGGGTAATTATAATGCACCAGTAGCTGTATGAGGCGCCCATGTCCCATAGAGGTATGGCGCTTTTTTTAGAAGGGATAAACAAATAATGAAAATAATCACTAAAAATATATATATAAAACTGCGTCTGAAGTACTCAAAATGGTATTACTGTCTCTGAAATACACAAGCTTGCTTTAGGGAGGCCTAGTTACTGGCAGGAAACTATTACTGTAATTGTGTCCTTTAGTCAGCACCATTGACTGCCTGCTATAGTATAAACTTATAGGGGATAGCGATGGTGATGATAATTTATTTAAAGCCAAGGAATACGCGTATGTACGTCTGACAAACACACATGTTGTCTATACTGTACAAACCTGATGTTGCGGCGCTCTCGCTTTGTGAGACCTTAGCAACAATTAAGAAAGCTGGCGAGACCTATGCTTCAGCATATACCCATGATAATAACACCCAAACATTTTAACCGTTCTTAAATCATTATTTTTTAAACATTTTTAACACTTTTATCTTTTATCTACGATTTTTAAAATATTTCTTAAAGAAATTTTACACATTTAAAAAAAGGAAAAAAAAATCTGTTGAATTACTGTTTTAAATGGTTTTATTAAGTAGTTTTATTTGTTCTTTCCTTGTATATGATGATATTGACCAAATGAATGAATGAATGAATGAAAAATTATTATGCCGATACAAATAATAATTACCATCTAAACCTATGAGGATTTAATAATATGAATTATTGCGAATTCTAGCAATCATGCCTGTCCCTTGAATACTTATTCGAAAATTAACATACTTCCTGCAAACTTTGTCATCATGTGCCTTTAAGTTGACATCATTTCATAAATTATGCGTCAAACCTTCATTTACGTTAGCTAGGTATTCCTAATTTGTTATATAATATTATATAATATAATATAATATATATAATATGTTATATTATAATATAATTTTCCCACAAAAATTATATTAATAAATACCAGTAACATTAAAATTAATATTTATAACAATATGTGTAATAATAATAAGAAATTCAGTCATATACCTAATATTATTTATAGTATTATTATTTACAGTATTACTATTAGTCTATATATTACTAATAGTATTAATAAAGGTAAATCATATTATTAATAATGATAATAATAATAATGATGATAATAACAACAGTAATCCATTAAAATATGTATACATTCCAATAGTGATCAAAGTGGAATTGATAGTAGAAATTTTGCACTAATCTACTCAGTTGTAACCAGTCTGTATATTATTATTTTTAGCGTAAGCCTTGTCTTAGAAGCGAAGTTGAATTTCAGAATTTGAAGTTACATACAACTATAAAATTTGAACTATCTATGGTCTCTTTATAACCTGCTATTTATAACTCGATAATATAATATTACTTTTATTTTAATGGCAATAAATAAATATGCATAGTTTAAATTATTATTATTATTATTGTTATTATATAATTATTATTATATACTGATTACTAACTTTATCATCAAATGTTTTTCGGTTGGCATTATTTCAAAAAGTATGCGCCAAACCTACACTTGCGTTTGGTTATACCTAATTTGTAATATATTCCCAGAGGCCCATCACTTTACGCACATCAGTGACTTTCGTTGAGTTTCTGAATACGAACGTTTAACATTTTTTAAACCAACATTTCAGATTTAGAAAACCAAAATTATACTTATAAATAACGACAACTAGAACGATAATAATAATAATAATAATAATAATAATAATAATAATAATAATAATAATAATAATAATAATAATAATAATAATACTAGTAGTAGTAGTAGTAATAGAGGTAAATCATAATTAGTATTGATAATGATGATAATTAAAATAAGATAGTTGATTTGATTTGATTTGATAAATATATTTTCACAGATCAACAGTTGTAATCAGTGTACCAAAAAAAAACAAAAAAAAAACTGGTATCTCATAGGCCTATTTATATTTTAGCGTAATCTGTCTTAGAAATGAATTAAGTTAAATACAACTAACGTTAAACTTTTAACTATGGTCTTCAATACCTAATATATATTTTTTCAACTCAATAATATAATATTACTTTTACTTTGGCAATAATGGTAATTAATAAATGTGAATGATTTTAATTATTATAATCATTATTACATAAATACAGATCGATTGCACAGATCAACAGCGGTATTCAGTCTACCAAAAACGGGTACCGCATAGGCCTATATTTATTTTAGCATAAGTCATGTCCTAGAAATGAAGTTAAATACAACTAAGTTTAAAACTTTGAACTATTATGATCTCAGACTTCAATACCTGATAATTTTTCAAGTCAATAATATAATACTATTACTTTAATTTGTAATTGCAATAAATAAATGGAAATGTTTTTAATTATTATATAAATATACATCGTAAAACGACGTAAATACTTTCATATTAGTATGAACATGTTTTTATATTTTCCATCTTGATATATAATATTAGTTTCAATTTTATGGTAATCAGGTTTGCATGTGATAATGTTATTATCATAGATAAAGTTACTTGGTAAAACAACCTAAATAATGTTCACGTGAATATAAACGAAAATAAATATAGATTTTAACTTACAAGTAATTCTGGAATATGGAAAACTTGTGCGAAATGTTTCGTTGTTCTTGATTTGAGCTGATCACCATCTCATACCAGACTTCTATCCACACCCGGTATTTAAGCAAGAGATGAGGGCTCTTACGTCATTATTTTGGCAGGTGCTGGCTCAAGATATTAGGGAAAGTCCCTTTATAGAGTAATTTCTTATCATCTCAGTGCAATTTCAAAATTGTTACGACGTCACAAAATATCACATGGGAAAACGTGATTGGTTGGTTGTTTTGATTGATGGATTAGATTTTTTTTAAAAAATAATATCCGCATTGTCAAGTGGCAACCCATATCTTTAAGTTTGCTTTTGTTCCTTCCCGGGATGGCGTCCCGCGACGTATACCAAATTAATTAGTTTGATTCCGTGTAAGGCCGGCTGATATAAGAGCTTGTGGTTGTCTGTTTGTTCCCGGGCAATATTGAACATAGATAAGTGTGTAAAAGGAGCTTTATTGGTCAATATGTAGGCCAACACACCTTAAGCCTATAAGCTTTACCCCTAATCACCAAATTTACGATTAGGAACAATGAACTTGGCCCTACTGCACTCTAGTGCCGACAGCAATGTTTTTGTGGTGAGGTGCTTCTTGGGGGTGTGGTTGTTCATAACATGAACTCCATCATGATTTATTCATTCATTCATTCATTCATTCATTCTTTATTTAGCCTTTAAAAAAAATCACATTACAATTTGCACATACAGTAAAATAAAAATTCACAATACAGAATAAAACTGAAAATAAAAGGAGGCAAGGATTAACAAAAGCAATTAAAATCGCTGTATAGCTCACAAGCTAGTTAATCCATCCTTAGAGAAACAGCATTTTAAAATAGAAGATATAATAAATAATAAAAATTTATAATACTTAGGAAGAAAAACAGAAGAAATATAAAAATGAGACTTACACACATACAGTATACACCCACACATACAGTACATACTTATACACACACACACCCAAATATAAATAAATTAATTAGATAATGGTTTTGTAATGTTCTTTCAATTTTGCAGTAAATACATTAAGATTGTCCAGTATTACAGGTAATAATAATAATAATAATAATAATAATAATAATAATAATAGTACTATTTTATTTACAATTAAATAGGATTAGTAAAACCAGGGTTTTTTTTTTATAAAACTTTTTTGTTTGTGTAAAACTTTCTGTCGTAAATGTAACCTTCATTTTTGGTGTAAAATTGGTGTAGACTTTGGCTGAACAGCAGTCTGTCCATACCAAATTTATCCTTGTAAACATGTAAATTTGTAAGGTAATGGGTTTCTTTAATTATATATATATATATATATATTATATATATATATATATTATATATATATATATGTGTGTGTGTGTGTGAAATATATATATATATATAGTCAAGAGTTGACAAAGAAAATTAGCCCCGAATGTCCCTTAGCTTGCTACGATATTGCTACCTACCGATAAATACGTACGACAATGTCGGATTTGGCCTAGAGGCGAGGAACGGAGACCCATTGGGTGAATGACTTTCCCAAACGGGTCAATAAACTGCAGCAGGTTTTGGAGGAATTTGTTTATGTCCTGTTTTGGCGAATTCAGTCCGCGCACCGTGACTCTTTGTGGTTGTCAAAAGAGTCATCAACGACGGACGGACTCAAGGACGGTAACCTGACATGAAAATCGATCTGCGCATGCACGACCCCCGCAGCTTATCGTTCTTAGCAAAATCACGAACTGTTTTTGGCCAATTTATCGTCCGTGGAGAATCACGAACGACTAGCTCAAGCAGCCAATCAGCGCTCTTTAGGGATACCAAGCAGCCAATAAGCGCCCTTTAGGATACCTAATAAAAAAGAGGGAGCGGGTCAGGTTAACGTCGTTACGGACTACCGTTCGTTCTTCGAAACTGCGAATGATAAGACCGCAGACGAGTATCAAAGACGGTCACAGTTCATTGCTTTTAGTCCTAGAGTACGTCCGTGCTGCATTTGCGAAAGCTACGGTGCGCGGACTGAATTCGCCAAACTACATACAGGGGAAGAGGTAGACAAATTTGCTTTTACATATGCATGAAAATGTTGATTCAAAATAACATGCAATATGTAAAATATTAAAATTATAATATAACTATGGTTATAATGTTCATTTTTAAGCAACCAATTACATCTCAAAAATGGAGAATGTTCTTTTGCAAAATCAACATTTTTTTGTACACTTTCAGAGGGGAGGGAGGGAGTACCGAAAAGAGTACTGTTTGTACACTTGCGAAAATGTTGATAATTGTGAACGTCGACCCCTTAGCCTAAATGTTTTCGATACAACGATATTGTAAAGATTTTAGATGAAGCGCTGTTACAGGTACAGTGGTGGACTTAGTGAGGGCGTAAGGGGGATACGTCCCTCTATTTTTTGTAAAAAAAAAAAAAAAAAAAAAAAATTCTAAAGCTTATTAGAAAATTACATGATAATTAGTAAAATCAATCAAATACAAACTCAACTTAATGAAATTGCCAGAGGTTTAAGGGGGATTCACCAGCTGCACCCTTACCGGGGCTCTTCCCACGACTCTCACCCAGTTTGCACATTCACCCCCCCCCCCTATCTTTCTACGCTGGATCTGCCCCTGTAGGTACTACTTCAGCAGATGGATATTAAACTTTTATGTAAACAGACCAATGCAAAGGAAAACGCTTACACTGTATCGCATGATATTATCATTTAATCAATGATTCAAAAACCAACTCATAAACTAACTAAAATAAAATCCACTAAAATGCTGACTCTACAACAAATTATGTAATTCTATTTCGACCAGCTACAACTAAAAGAGGGTTATCTAAAAAACCTCATAGGCTATAAAACTGAGTGCCAGGAAATCGGAATTTGTTATATTAGGGGACGAAGGCCTACCTCACCGAGCGAGAGACCCAGAGGTTTGGTAACCAAAACTGTATTTCCAAAAAAGTAATACAATACCACAAACAATATTTAAATAGGAAAGTACCACTACCAAAACTTATCTCCTACTATCAATAGTGCTAAAAGCAAGCAGTGTAGCTTTTACAAGCATTACATTGTGATAATATATATAATATCATTTATCATAGTCGATATACTGTAATAACGTCACAAATATTAAAAGAAATCAAATTATTCATTCAAAGTTTCAATTTTCTAAACTCACATAAAATACAAAAAATAATTTGATTTGAATATCAAGTCGTAAGTCGTCATTTACTATGTAAACTGAATGCAATTTTTATCTCTGACCTTATGACATCCCTTTCTAGGGAATCTTGTAAATCAAGTTAACTAGCTTACGAATTAATAATATAAATTTTTGAATTCTTATGCATCAATGAAATAGGCATCCCGTGGGTGAATTAATGAATAAAGAGGAGGGGTGTTGTGGTTGAAAGAGTGTCCCCTTTCTTTCAGGATCCGCTTCTACAACTATTTCACCAGTCCTCGCACTGCTTGTGATAGGTCGTCAATGCCGTTTTTTCCGAATATAATTTAAAAAGAACACTCCCAGCGGCCACACAACGTTAATTCAACGTTGAATCAACGTTGAAATGTAGTTGAAACGTTAAAATCATGTTGACAACATGTACTCAACATTGAATCAATGTTAAAAATATGTTGTGTATTTAACCCAAGTCCCGGTTGATAATTTAATGTTAATTCAGCGTTGAATTAATGTTGGCATTTGGTTGATAATTTAACAATTACAGTACCAACATGTTTTCAACATCTTTTAAACATCAAGTTAAAATATAGTTTGCATTTCAATGTAGAATCAACGTTGAAAATGTGTTACGTTTTTCAACCAGAATCGTATTGTTTATTCAACATTTTTCTACGTTAAATCATGGAGATATAAAATTTTTTATACCTCCATGGTTAAATAAACGTTGAAAATATGTTGAAATTTTAATGTTACAGTAACTACGTAAGTTCAACATCTTTTCAAAATATAGTTTGCATTTCAATGTAGAATCAACGTTGAAAATGTGTTACGTTTTTCAACCAAACTCCTATTGTATTTTGAACGTTTTTTGAACGTTAGATACACGTTGCAAATATGTTGAGATTTTAAAGTTAGTGTATCAACATAAGTTCAATGTTTTTTCAATGTGAAGTTAAAATGTAGTTTTTTATACAACTTCATTTCAACTTTGAATTCACTTTGAAATCTGGTTGAGATTTTAACATAACAATTACAATGTTTATTCAACATTTTTCCCATGTTAACTCTAAACATAATTTTTATTTTTATGTAGAATCAACATTGAAAATGTGTTGTGTATTTTT